AACCCCAATCGACGTGGTAAAAACCCGGATCCAAATAGACGCGTCCCTGAAAGGGCTAAACATGGCAACCGCAACCCGCCAAATCGTCTCCAGCGAAGGTGCCGCCGCTCTACTCACCGGATTCGGCCCAACAGCAGTAGGCTATCTAATCCAAGGCGGCGGCAAGTTCATGGGCTACGAATTCTTCAAAAAGCAATTCGTTACCCTAGCCGGCGGTCCCGAAAACGCTATCCCCCACCGAACAGCAATTTACCTAGGCGCCAGCGCCACAGCCGAGTTCTTTGCTGATATCGCCCTCTCACCGTTGGAAGCAACTCGTATACGACTTGTTTCGCAGCGCGGGTTTGCGAATGGTTTAACAAGCGGGTTTATGCGCATTGCTAGGGAGGAAGGTCTTCGAGGTTTTTATTCGGGCTTTGTCCCGCTCTTGTTTAAGCAGGTTCCTTATGCAGTGGGCCAGTTTTCGGTGCATGAGGCCGCCGTGGAGGTCATGTATCGCGCTATGGGGCCTGATAGGAGGAGTAGACTCACGCATGTCGAGACGACGGGCGTTGAACTTGCTTCGGGCATCGTGGCGGGTGTTGCCGCTGCGGTGCTGTCACATCCGGCGGATACGTTGTTGTCGGCCATGAACAAGGGCGCCGGGGATAAGAGTCAGGGGTCGATGAGTAGGATGTTTGCTTTGGCAAGGGAGTTTGGGCCTAGGAGGTTGCTTACTGCTGGGTTGGGACCCAGGATATTGATGACTAGTTTCTTGGTTGCTGGGCAGTTTGTGATTTATGCGCAGTGCAAGACGTTGGTTGGGGCGCCGGCTGGGGTTGAGATTCACAAGGAGAAGAAGATCTGAAGTATAGGGGAATTGAGAAGAGGAAGCAATCTCTGCTGGGTGAAATCAAAACCCAATGTGCTCCAACACGGCGACCAGTTGCTCTTCGGCCATGCGTTTGAGCGCCTGTCTCTGACCTTCATCAGTGTTCATTCTCAAGAAGTCCTTGTTGATTAGTCTCCAAGGTGCCAGGGCGCCCAAAAGCTCGTCAACGTCCGCGAGTTTGTCAATGCCTTCAATCGTGCTGGGCCGATTCACATGGTGCTTCTGCAGTTCATCTTCCCACGCCTGTGCGAGCTGCCAGTCAACCCCAGGGCCATTCTGAGTCATCACGGGTGTCGGAAGAGGGGAAGGAAAGCGGCCCGTCAGCTTGGCCATCCGGAGGGCTCCCAGCTCTCGTCCCTCTGCATCCTTATCCGACATCCAGCCCGTGAAGCGACCGCCGTTGGGGCCAAAGGAGCGGAAAAATTCATATGCAGGGTGAAGAATGCTACTAAAATCGTAATCAAGGAGCGCGGTTAGGCGGCCCGTCTCGGGGTCAAAGAGGAGATTATCGGAGGCTAATGATCACCATGTCAACGTTCAGTTTCTCACGCGTGGTTGGATATGGAAACTCACTAAAATCTGCGTGTATGATAGCCCTGTCTTGGCGGGATGGGAGGTCGGCGAATTGCTTCGGCAGGCCACGCTCGATGAAATCCTCAACCCGCTCCTTGATGCCATTGAACCGCCATCCGCGCAGATATGGATTGTCCTCCACCCTGCGAAGTGCCACTTTGAGACGGCCTCGGTAGGAATCGTCGAGAGACTGCCAAGGTCCCGCGCCGACACTAGGCATTGAAGCACTGATGATGGCACCGCTGTCATCAAAAGTCAAGCCTCCCCAGCCCTTGATGCTTTTGGGAAGCTGGTAATCCTGCAGTCCTTTCAGGATTCTAGCCATCTGTCCCAGAATGTCCTTTTTCTGTTCCAAAGACCCAGCTGGATCAAAGATATCTTCGAGTGGCACCCCGGGCATGAGATCCTGCAAGATCCAGCCAAGACGTCCGGGAGTGGCCGGTCCCCAGCCGAAGACGCGGGGGACAATATGGGGTTCGATGTGTTGAAGAGCTGCCGAGGCGAGAGTAAGGATGGCCACTTCATTCTGCACCCGCGTTTCCCGGTACATGCCTTCGGCATCCGCGTTGCTGAGTCGCATTATGAACTCTCTAGCACCGGCGGGGATCGGGACACACCCCGCCTGTTTGAGACCCGCATTTCGAGGTCTGGTCGAGATGTCCAAGGGGAACGAAATGCGGTAGACGAAGTTGTTGTATTTGAAGGGGAAATCGGCTTCATATTGGATGGGCGTAGTCTTCGTCCCGGAAAGCTCCTATTTCTTTCCAAAAAAAAAGTTTAGAGTGGGAGGGAGAGTGACAGCACGGGATCCGCGCGGGCTGAGTGCAGACGCGACTTGAATGGAGGTCGCGCGTGGCGGGGTACTCGCCTTATCAGAGAGACCGAAATTATCGACAAGCAGTCGCTTGATATAATCAATACGCGCTTGATAATTTATGTGGTTGTGAGAGAGGGGCTCCATTATTATTTCTTTGCCAAAGGCTCTTGTTGTCGATGTACGGATATTCGAGTTGCGTTGTTGTGCAATATATGGCGGTGTGGAAATCTCAGTTCGGGCGATACAGGAGGACTTGTTGGTTGCCTGCGGGATGTGGCACGCACAGTACCCGAGAACTGTGTTGGTGAGACGAAATGCACTCGATCGCACTAACGTACTTGGACAAGCTCTAGCTCCGAAAAGAGAGCCTCCCAAAGCTACACTTAGAACCAGGCTGGGGAATATAGATGCGCGTTGGCTTGTCTGGACTATGGTATGTTCTCATGGCTATCCTGCATAAATGTAATAGACGGGAATAATAACTTCATGGAGAACATCTGGACCAATCCGCAACGAGTTAGAAGCATGAATGTTTCAGACTTTCAGTTTGCGTTGCCCTGAGTTTTGTCACCATTGGCAATGCTTCTTGAGCATCGGCCCTCAATCTATCTCCGTGATCAGCAGTCCACTTCCCCGCAAAGTTCGTGTCGGGTAGATGGTCAATAATATCGTTATTGCCCGTTCGCACCTTGAGCTGTGGATTCTGGGGCTAACATCTCAAGTATCCGTCCACATTATCCACCGAATCAACTGTATAGCTCGGCAGTTATGTTGCCGCCAAAAAAGGAAACCATAACTAGCCGAGTCCATCTAGATCTCATATCAACAGCCACACCAGCACAATCCGCAAGCGCGCCTTCCACCAATCCAAGTGCTTTCGGGGAGATATAATCCGGGAATGGCAAGCGGTAAGGCAAATGGCTTGCGAACTATGGCTGTAGCCATCACTCGGCTCCCATACATATACCCTACTCGCCAAGCAGGCTGGAAACTGCTGTCCTGCACCGAACATTCCATGGCTTGATCAATGCTACCACGTCGAGTTTGGTCCCGCTATCGAACTGTTCAACATAACAACAGACAGTCATGTACCGGACTAGGGGTGCTATCGCCCTGGCGCTGATGGTGTCAGGTGCGGATGCTCTACTTCGCTTCTCATGCTCGCAACTTGTCGTTGAGCGGCTTGATCCGTGAGTACTGCCATCACTGCAAAGTACTAGTATTTGTGATACACTGATACTGACGAACACTGGATTTCCAAGACTGGTCAACCCTGGTGCCGCCCCATCACCACATCTTCACCAAATAGTTGGTGGTGTAAGTGAGACGTCTACTTATCATTCTTGCTCCTCACTCTCAGCCACAGACTTATGACATTCCATGCTCTAGAACGCCTTCAATATTTCCATGGACCCCAAGACTCCACCTCCTAGCCTGGCAACCTGCACGACTTGCACCTTCGCCGACGACTTTTCCAACTATTGGACTGCCGTCCTCTACTTCAAGGCTAGAAATGGAAGCTACCATCGAGTTGCCCAAAAACCCAACGTCGGGTTCGAGCAAGCCACAGGAGGAATGACAATCTACTACACACCGTACATCGGCAGCACCAAGTCTAGCGTGACGGCCTTCCAGCCCGGATTCCGCATGCTCATCGGCCAGCAAGGCGGTCGCACGCTGGAAGAGGCTCAAAAATACCGCCAACTCACGTATACCTGCCTCAAAGACCCCATGACCCGCACTGGAGAGACCAAGGACATGCCCACTCAACCATGTCCAGCTGGTATCATGGCCAACGTCCGCTTTCCCACGTACGTATCATCGCAACATCACATTATCCTCCCCATCCCACTAACGATTTCTCTGAAACACAGATGCTGGGACGGCAAAAACCTCGACTCACCAGACCACACCTCCCACATAGCCTACCCCTCCTCCGGGACATTCGAGTCCAACGGCCCATGCCCATCCACACACCCGGTAAAAATCCCCCAACTGTTCTACGAAGTAATCTGGGACACTACGCCATTCAACGACAAGTCCCTTTGGCCTGAAGAGACCGGCCAACAGCCGTTTGTATGGAGCCAGGGAGATTCCACCGGCTATGGGTCCCACGGCGATTATGTGTTTGGCTGGAAAGATAACGCCCTGCAAAAAGCCATGGATACGAATTGTAATATCAACTGTCCGCAGTTGAAGAGTCAGAGTATTGCTGTGGGAAACAAGTGTGTCAAGCAGACGCAGGTTAAGGAAACGATTGACGGCTGGGTTGACCATTTGCCGGGGGCGGAGCATATGGAGCGGAAGAAATAATCATATGGCTGGAGGCTATGACTGGCTCTCGGTTGGTTGATGGTTGCTCCTTCCCTTGTATGCTAAGAAGGGCCTTGATGCGATGGAAACGTTAGCGGTTACCGTATTTGTATTCTGCATATATAACGTAACTGCCAGGTGCCTGAGGCAGAATGCAAAGACTTTTTCTCGTGATTTGAGACAGTTTGAGTGTGATGTTCCAGGAACGGCGATCCGGTCTGGAAGGAGGAAGGCCACGATGTTATTTTATGTTAGTTGGCAAGGTAATTCTAGCCATGCCCTACTCTGAGGAACAAGTAAATTCCAACTTGACGCGGGATGGAAAGGAAAAAGACTTTCTCGGACTCAAGAGCTGGTCGGCATCTGCTGGAAAGTGGGTGTTGGTGGGCCAAACAAATACTGCTTATTGAAAACCCAAAATGTAATGGGTACATGGTCTAGTGGTATGATTTTCGCTTCGCATCCATTCTCTGGAATGCGCCTTGTGAAAGGTCCCCGGTTCAATCCCGGGTGTATCCATCTTTTGCCATTTCTTTATTTGCATTTTTCTTTTTGCATGCTATCCCATTCTTCTCACCAATGCCGGAATTCATGCTTTGACTTTTTCGCTGCATTATTCATCCCCTCTGCCGTTGTCTTGCCGTCACGATTCTTTGTTCTTTTTGTGCCCCATTTACGACATTATCTCACACCATTCACCCGCTTTAAGTCTTCTACCTCGATAGAACAGCTTTTGTTTCTCCAAGTCACAGATGCCAAGGAAGAACATCATTTCACGAAATAATGAACAAAATAACCCAACGCAATTAGTAACATTTATTTATCCATCATTCAGCAAGCCAACTATAAAGGATTCTTAGTCATAGCCCCCTTTGGTCTCCTAAACGGATGCGCCTCCGTGTTCAAAACGAAATCATCCAAGCTGATCAAATCAGGCGGCGAAAAGGCCAAATAAAAGTATTTTAATGTCTCGGCCAGCCAGAAACTCTGTCACAATACTTCAAGTTAGCATTCCCATCCTTGTACTCTCCCGGTTCACATCAAATGCATGCAATGGCGTGTGACTTGACATACCTCCATATAATCCTCCTTGGCAAGCGGATAATCCGCCTTGGTGACATCCAACACAGCAGCATTGGCATATTCCGTTTCCGTTCCTTTCGCAACAGACGTAAACATGTCCCACGCGGCATCTTGATACTCTTGTCTACCTGTCGTTCGCCACAGGATAAACACGCTCTCGATCGCCTCGGGGCGCAACAAGTATCGCGGGTCCTTGGCGGTGGTAAAGCCCGCTGGCAAACCAGGTCTCCAGTCATTTCCTTGCGCTTTCTTCCACTGCTCAAAGATGGATGCATCCCATGGGCAGGAAGTTCGAGATGCGCAAGGGACCATGTTGTACCTTTCTGGCATGATTCCCGTTGGCATGGATTTGTAAGCGTATATACAGCCGTTTGTTAGTTTCGGAGCGAGATCGTCGGACCAGGAGGAATCTCGGAAGAGCCGGCCGGAGAGGGCATAAATCCCGCCGACGAAACAGCCTAGATGTTCGGATTCGGGGTTCAAACTCGGTTTGTCGTCGCCTCCTATGCTCGAGGCGCCTATCATCAGGAGGGGCTCAGAATCCGATTCAGAAGGAAGCATAGGGCGGAAAAAGAATGTCTTGTTTGCTGCGGACAGGAAAGACTTGGACATTGCTTCGTATTTTGGGTCTAGGCCGCCTAGGAGGGCGTGCATTTTGGGTATATACTCGTACAGAGAGTCTGCTGAGCCGGCGATGGTGAATGTTGATCCCGTGGTCACGTCTTGTTGCGACATGGAGACGTAGATTGGCCAAAGCCCTGGGATTTGCGTGAACTCCTGCCCTTTGTGGAACATGTCCATTACTCGTGTTATGGCGTCGTAGTATTTCGGGTCGCCTGTGATTTGCGATAGACGCGTCATTTCCAGGGATAAAGTCCCTGGCGAAGCGGAGACTACGCTGCCTTCGACATGCAGTCCGGTGCCTTCTTTTGCAGCGGTGAAATCGATCATGTCGACGGGCATTCGGTTCGGCGTGTTATAGCCTGCGTAGAGGAGGTCGCCTAGTTCGATTGCCTTGGTGAGGAGGATATCCCGCTGGCTGAGGTCGTAGGCTGCAAGAAGACCGCCGAGGTAGCGGATGTTGACCTCGAACATGTTGACGCTGTAGCTGCTTGTTGAGCCAAAATCGATGGTTGCTACTGCGGCGACTGCCTCGTCGAATTCGTCCCGTAAGCCCATGATCCAGAGGGTGTCGAGCGAGTCGACTAGGGTCGCTGCCCAGCCGCTGAATTGGTCTTTGTACGAGGCCGAGATGGGCTGCAGGGCGTCTTTCATCCAGGCATATTTGCGGTAGCTCGCCCAGTTCTTCTGGAAGAGTTGTTTCACTTGCTGTCTGCGACCTTCACGGAGTTGACGGGCTTTGGTGCTTTCTGGCCGGAAGTGGTGCTGGACTTGGGGCAGAGAGATGGGACGGCCGGTTGGGAGCTGGCGAAGGGGCTGAGGAGGGGGATAGGCAAATTTTACTTTGCTCCAGTCAAAGCTGCTGTTTGACCTGAGCTGGTTCTGCGCTTGTAGGCGGGAATTCATGTACCGCTCAAGCCGGACCGACTCGAGGGAAGAGAAAGGACCATCTTCCCAGGACGCGGTGGCGAGGTAGTAGAAGAGCGCGAGGAAGATGACGGTGCCGACCAGAGCGGGCCGCCTCCTCCTGAGGCGGAATAGGATGTTCTGCATGGCTGGTGGTTAAGTGGAGGAATTTCCCCTCAGACCAGGGTTATGGGAGAGAGTCGGCGGGGTGAGAAGTCATCTGATGTCAGTATAGAGAATGAAGCGTCGAATAAGATGATGAGAGCCGAGATTCAATTGTTCTGCTCCGAGCGATACAGCGCTGCAGGTCATACTCACCGGCCCGAGACCTGTTGCGGGCGTGATGTCAACTCGGACTTTTGAAATGAGAGGACACCTTGAGGTTCGAGATGAGGCGCCACCGGATTGGCTAGATTGACCAACATCCTTGGCAAGTGGCTGGATAAATCGGCAGCAAACGAGTGCCAAGAAATCCAAAAGGGGTACTTCACGGACTTAAGCGGCCTGCGATATTACGTCACGAGGATGAGTGAGACATTGAAGATGTGTTTCATCCCAATGTCAATCTCGGAATATCTTTGAAGCTATACACATGGGACTACAACTGATGATTGTGCAGTGAAGATGCTGATCAGGGGTCTTTTCCATGCTGAGATCCAAGTCATAAAAACCTATGAATCTTCTATGCTTAACAATGGTCGGTGTATCCATTGTGAGATACTGCAGTGTCCATCCTAAGTCACGTCGAAATGTAGCAATAAGACTTGACCTTTTCATCGCTGCTTGCCAGGGCGGGAGCCACGGAAGCTAAAAAGCCATCCCCTTTCATGACAAAGGCGAAGCATGGGAAAAGACTAAACCGTGATGGATCGGATCGTAGTCCTGTCAAATTGGCCATTGCCCAATGCCATTCGTATTTAATTCGGCAGAGAAAGAATGAAACCTCAAAGAAGACAAAGAGACAGAAACCTTTGGAAACCAGTCAAGCACGACTAGCCACAAGCCAGAGCACCGAAATAATTCCCAACAAACGATGGTGATGGTCAGGGCGGCTCGTTGGACAAAGACACAAGCCGCGGATTCACAAAAGCAAAAGATTACAATGGCGCTTTGCACAAATAGGGGGAGGGAGTATAAGAAACCAACGAGCCTGGTTGGGGGCTCCCATCATCCGTTGCTGTCTCTGCACGACTCCCCCGGGCTCTGAACGTAACGGCTGAAATATCAACATCGGGAAATACAAACGATTACCATCGAATACCGCAATCATGCCTCCTGTAACAGGCCCCAGAAGCAAATACTGGCTCAACCCCGACCGGAAGCGGGGTGGAAGGCCGGATCAAAAGGTGCAGCTACTGACGACCATGACGCTCAACATTGTGCACGAGAGAAAGAACATCCACGGACGTGTCCCCTTTACCGACGTTACCAACTACGGACGACCAGAGGACGAGGAGCCGTACTATGTGCCAAGCGACCCACTGGAGAGAGATGTAGCCCAAGAGTTTCCCTATGGCAGATTCCTGAAGCTCCTGAAGGACAAATTCGACTTCGAGTATGACACGGAGTACGTCGTCTTCCAGGATGTCAATGTCAGCCCTCATATTGGAGGCGGAGCCGAGGCCTATATGAAGATTTTCGATTGCGACAGGACCTGGGTTGATATACTCTGGTTGATGACGTCGGGAGCTATTGTGATCGAGCCGTATGGAGATATCGAGATCCTCATCAAGACTCGCATTGAAGCGCTCCCAATCATGAGTGCGCAGGGGCTGAAGTCTCCGAAAGAATTCAACATAGAACCAAAAGAGCATGACCCGTGGAAGGAAATGGCTCGAGTTTGGGGTAAACCCCCAAAGGACGGAGAGTATCGAGTTTGGGAGAAACACCCAAACGAGAACTACGCCTCGTCCTCCTCGTCCGAGGATGACGGATACAAGTACGCGGCAAACACCAAGTATACCCTGGAGGAGCTCAAAGTGTTCGAAGAGCAAGGTAGAGAAAGCTTTGCAAAAATGCGTGCAGAGGGCTTTACGATAAAGTCGGATGTTAGTAGCTCCTCCGAGGACGACTGCGGGCGGGTTAAAAAGGTGTCGATGAGGACGAAGAGAAATTTGGAGCATCATGCACGAGAGCTCGCAAAACGGTACGCGAGGGAAGACGAAGCAAGACAAGCAGACCGCGAACGCATCAAAGGAATCAAGTTTGACCCCAACAAGAAGGACTTTATCCCCAAGGCCTCGCGTCTGCCAAGGCCGCCTCGCAGTCCCACTCCTTCAACAGACGACAACGCCGGACAGGACCGCTCGAGGCTGAGTGTTCCTGGTCCCTCGAGGGATGCTGCTACCTCGAAGTCGTCGAGAGCACGAGGTGCGCCGTCTCGGGACCAGTCTCAGGCCTCGATCCGGCTGCAGCTGCTCGAGGACAAGGCTCAGTACGAGACCGAGGAGGCCCAGGACGACGACTATGGCGCCATCGACCAGACTGTCATCGATACCTTTGTTGGCGCCTACAACACTGGTGACAGCGACAAGGCCTGGGACACGTGCCTGTCCTTCTTCAACATCGACCCCGACGAGTGGTCCCGGGCCGAGGAGATGCGGTACAAGCAAGCTGCAAAGGAGGGAAAGAAGCGCAAGCGAGTACCCATGAAGAAGCTCCCCGGCATGACTGTCGGTCTCTTTGACTACCAGCTCATGGGCGTTCTCAACCTGCTACGCAACGTTCTCTACAATGTGCCCGGCGGTATCTTGGCAGACGAACAAGGCGTGGGCAAGACTATGGAAATGTTTGGTCTCATTGCTCTGGCCTACAACCTGCGCCGGAGCAAGACCGAGGTCGAGGCTGAGTGGAACTTAGGCAAGCGGTCCCAGCACAATCCTCGTCAGGACGCTGAGAAGGGTGGTGCA